ACACCACCTAAATAAAAAGAAGTTTTAAAATGAAATAAAATTGTAACTCTCCTAGAAGTGAAATAAAAGAAATTTCTTGGACTCTTTCGTGCAGTCGGTGCAACTCCTCCAGAACCCACTGCTAATGTAGCACCAGTAGGCATCCCAACAGAAACAGGTGCAGTCATTCCAGTCACAACAGTAGAAGAAGAATCCCTCTTGGGCCTCCCCCTGGACCTCTCAACACCACCTGGCTGAGCCCCCAAACTCTTTGGCGGACAACCATGTCCCTTCTTTAGCCCACCTTGGTTCGCCCCACCCTGCTTAGGCAGACAATCGCGTCCTTTTTTCTTTCCATCTCCAGCACTAGAAGCATCACCATTTACAGAACCAACTGGGGGTCAATTCCTGGAAAATCAACCTTGTCCTTGCCATCAAAAATGGTCTTCAGCATGTCATCTCGGTAAATCTCTCTCTTATTGTCTGGGTTCTGCAAAATGACGTTGAAATTACGATAACATTCAAGTAATCGCAACATACTCATAAACAAATTACTAATACCTAATAAATAATAACACAAAATACTCATTGATTTCACAAAACAAATGCAGTAAAGTAATTGAAACATAAACCTCATAAACCATTAACAAATTCTCAAACAGAAAAAACCACCAAAATTCAATCTCATCCTACTTATAAATTCCATAGTTTCAAATTTTCCAAGTAATTGAAACTGTGAAATCGTGAGAAGCAAATAATACAACTACAGCCACTTCGAAATTTGAATCAATAAGTTTCAATTAAATTAACTGAAAACACTTCTAATACTTCACATATTATCTGACAGCATTAATCCACCCTAACCCATTACCAAATTTGCAAACACAAAATCATCACAATTCAAAATTACCTTCTCTTGTTAAAATACATAATCAAATATACATAGCAAAATCCATAATCAAATACACAAACACAAAAACTAACCTTAATTCTGTTACAGATTAATGGGAGTCGGAGACTCAGAGTCGTACGGATTCGCTTCGCCCAGTCCAGCTTCTTCCTCTAATTGGAATTGTCGAATTGGGAATTGGGAAATAAGGGTTAACTTTGCCTGTTTTGGAATTAGACCATTTCCTCTAATATTGGGCCTAATTTTTTTACACAATAATCAGCCCAGCTGCCCAAGTGCCCAACCCAACTACCCCAATAAAAAAAAAAAGACAACAGAGCCCATTTCAGTTTCTTCTTCACGGTTATCTTCTCCGACGTTTCTCCCTTCCAGTTTGGCTCTGCAATCACTAAAACTTCAAACGATGTTCAAATAACGTCAAGTGAGAAGACACAAAAAGTACATAGATACAGAAATTATAAGTATACGACGGTGATTCGGACCTGGAGGTTATGCGATTTGACGTACTCCCAGATTTTCTTAACGGCACCAGAGCGCGAGGCTTCGGAGGAACCGATGAACTTGGCGAGAGTAGGGGAGACATTTTGGACTTTGAGTATCCCAGCGTTGCCAGATTTGGCCTTTGTAGCAGTAATTGTTTTAGCTTTAGCAGTGGAGGCAGCAGCGGAATTGGCCGCAGCCATTAGAACTCTGTATTTTTTGCTAAAAACCTTGAATGAAGCCATGATTATTTCAAGTTCAGGGAGAAAGCTGAGCTTATAGTTCAGTAATAAAACCCTAGAGAGAGAGAGAAGGAAAGGGTTTTGCGGGGATGAAGTGAACCCTTTGTCCGGTTTACCCATTAGAATTAGGGATTTCGACTTTGAAGGAATTAGTTTTGGGCTAAATAATGGACTTCTCTTTTGGTTTATTGGGCTAAATAATGGATTTCTCTTTTCGTAACATTTAAAAAACGTTGCGAAAAGTGCCTTTTTGCAACGTTTTTTAAACGTTGCAAAAAGTGATATTCGCAACGTTTAAAAAACGTTGCGAAATGTAACACTTTTCGCAACATTCAATAAACGTTGCGAAAAGTCACTTTTTGCAACGTTTAATTAAAAAATATTGCCATAGACCTCTTTAGCAACATTCACTCACCCAAACGTTGCAATAAACCCCCTTTAGCAACATTTAATGAATGAATGTTACCTTCTAAAATTTTTCTTGTAGTGATAGTTCAAGAATATCGAGAAGTATTTATGAATCATGTTATTGGTTTTCTATAATTATAACCGTGAATACTTGTCAATTGTTGGAAATGGGTTTCGTGGCTTATTTTGTTCGGTAGTAGATATCTTGAAGACTAATATCTTCTTTAATCAAGTCCCAATAATTCAAGAATATCGAGATGTATTTATGAATTATGTTATTGGTTTACTTACTGAGAGAGGGAGAGAGAGAGTGAAATAGTCATCAAGTTAGTACCTAATATAGCCCCAAACTCAAAGGCATCATATTACATGGTGAGATCTCTAACTTTTCAATACGAGAACCTTATTTTGTTTGCAAAGAAGAAAGACTGCTCGACAAGATTGCGTATTAACGATAGAGAGCTAAATAAACTAACTAAGAAACAAGTATTTATGTGTTTCTAACAATTGAAGACTTGTTTGACCAACTCTAAGGTGTTAAGTAAATTTTCCAAAATTGATTTGCAATCTAGGTAGCACTAGCTAAGAATAAGAGAAGACGATATCCCAAAGATTTCATTCACACTCAATATGGAAATTATGGTATCCTTTAGTTTAACTAATACTCATGAATTTGAAATAGTACTTATATTATTTTTATCAAGTTTTCATTAATGAGGTTTTAATCAATTCATGATCCAAAGAGGAACATGATCGACATCGTGGATTGATGCACAAAACAATTTGGTATAATAATTCCTTCGCTTAAATTAATAAATGCGATTGAGTACCTGTTTGGGTACAACGAAATGAAGAAAGGGATTTCATGAACACAACAATGTTAAGGTTGCCCACAAATTGTCCGACACCATACAATACTGAAAAAGATCGAATTTTTCTTGGTTATTAGCGATGTTTCGAGGAATTCACTAAATTACTTCATCATTAACATAATTAATCAAGAAGGATGTGAATTTTTTTGTGGACTCTAGATTGTGAACGATGCCTACTAAGAGTTGAAGAAACATCGAAATTCAACACCTAGTCTAAAAATTATGCATGGTAAGGAAGGGTTGTCATCTACAGAAACACTTCCGTAGGGTACTTGTTCGTGTGATTCCGCAAGTGTACGGATCGTGACAAGTAATAAATTGAATTTTTGAGTTCAAGCATCGTTCCCATAGAGACTACTATCTACTATCAATTTTATTCCAATTCTAGTTTCAATCTAAATTGATGAAGCGACCAATTAATAAATCAAGATTTTACTTTCTAACTAAAATATACTTAGCTAATCTAAAATTAATCTTATTAATTTAATTTGTGGAGAACTATTGGGGTTAAGTGGTTAGAAATTTTGATTTCACTTGAGTCAATCTAACATTAATTCAATTCAAATTCATTCATCCCCTTTTTATATGTACCGACAATCGAATTGACCTATTGTAGCTAGTGATATCTTCCAATAAACATTAATTTTATTCATATGTCCGAATTTAATATATCTCGATGTAAATTCACACACATTGGAATGCTTTAACATACGTGAATTCTATATAGATTGCATAGTCTATAATTATCTCGATCTCTTATAATACCTATGTTATTTATTGCATGACCTGGAATCATATATTACATGTTGATCTCAATACTATTCATAAATTAATCAATTGACACATTAAACTCACAATAAATAAATAACATATAATTAAGTTGCATGAAATTGTTGGAATTAAATAAATATTAAACTTAAAATGCATCCTTCACCCTAACAACCAATTATTTAGCCAATCACAATTACAAAATTAAATAATAAAAGACTGAAAAACATCATCGGGCTCAATACAAGGAATACAAAAAATAATTCTAGCAATTGTTGTTCTTTGGCACCCAATTCTCAACAATGGATCGTCAATCTCCTCTTCCAAGCTTATATATCTCTCGGCCAATTGTGTTTTTCAACCTTTAAATCCAAAATTGAGATACAAATCTTGATTATTCAATGTATTTGAATGTGTAATTATGCCTTAAAATTGTATCTCTAGCCTTCCTTAATTTTAGAATGAAATATTCATATTCATAGACCTAAATTAGGTTTAAATTAGAGTCCCAAGAGGATGGGGAATCATAATTTTAGTCCAAATAGAATTTCACAAATTGCTGGAATATAATATTTCCTTGTGCAATTTGGTCTCTATTTCCTCCTTCAATTTAGATCGAGTCATTAAATTTTGCAATTGAGGTCCTTCAACTTTCAAACGTGACTCCTTAGTCCCTAACTTTTAGAATATGTCCAACTTTACTCATTTTTTTTTGTCAATTTTTGTTCTTGTCTAATTCTATATTTTCTACTGAATAATAAAAAATACACAAAAATTAAGTATCTAGTTCATAAAATTACTTCCAAAAGCTATTTTTGATGGTCAAGATAAGTATAATATTTACACTTATCAATTGTATTCTTATGCAAAAGACGTAGATAAACCATACCTATCAAGAGGACGAATAGCGCGAGAGGACTTCCTAGGATGAATTGTGGAGGCGGTGGCCGTCATCGTTGATAGATAATGCCTGGTGTAAAATGCTTAATAGGTAAAGAAATGTCATCGAATTGAGGAAGTAGAACACGCTTAGAAGGGGCAACATGTTGCGAAAAATAAGACTGATTTTCAATGAAAATCGTGTTACGAGAAATGCGTAGACGATTGGCAACGACATCATAACATACAAACCCTGTTTGAGAAATGCAAAACCCATGAAAGCACACCTAAGTGACTGAGTTGTAAGCTTGTGACGTTCATAAGGTAAATGAACAAAACACACATCCAAATGTGTGCAGTGTATGATTATCAGGGTACATACTATAAAGACGATAATAAGAAGAATCAAAATTCAATTGCTGAGAAGGCAGGCGATTAATCAAATAAACTGATGTGGACAAAGCTTACTCCCAAAATTTAGGCGGATTTGAAGATTCAAAGAGTAAGGTCCAAACCACATCCAACAAATGACAATTTTTAGGTTCAACAACCTCATTCTATTGAGGAGTATGTGGACATGAACATTAGGCTACAACACCTTTCTGGCTTGAAAGTCATGGGACATATATTCACCACCATAATCAAATCTTAAAGCCTTAACACACATAGAAAATTGTGTCTCAATGTAAGCCAAAGTTCTAAAAAAATAGTGAAAACCTCGACTTTTGAATGTCGCAAGTAAAGCGAATGCAATCATAAATGAATGTCACAAAATATTCATAATAGCCATTTGAAATAATGGGTGTAATACCCCAAACATCACTATGAATAGTTTCAAAACAAGCATCAGCACAACTGTAGCAATCGAGAACTTTTAAATGATATAAA